CTGCCCCCTGACGTACGTTAGGAGAAAGCCTTGCTTTCCTATGCAGAGCCCCGGCCCCGGGGCCGGACGAAGGAGGCAGCCCAGCGGCAATACAAGACTTCGAGCATTGTTGAAACTTTCGCTGAGTTTGTTAAAATTGTAACCCCCTCTGGATTCTCACAGGTTTACAAGAAGCTGTTTTGTTAAACCTTGTTGTCTCTGCTCGCTCTTTCCTTATCTCACCCTGGACCCTCCGCCTCCCCCTCCCACGGCTCCATATCCTTGTGCAAGGCCCGTCCCTTCTTGAGCAAAGAACCAATAAACTAATTGTAGCTGGTATAACGATGTGTGAGACTTAAAAACAACAAATGCTTTATGGACTAACACTTTATAGACTAACAGCACATGGAGATGGTACCAGGAGCTCTCGTGGGCCCAGCCCCCTTCTTCAGATAAGACTTGTACTGTTGATAGTTCTTTGGAAGCTGCTGTCCAGCCCTCCCCAATGCATTGCAAATAAACCTGATTAGTATTATCTGTGTGGCTGAATTCTCGGGAAAAGAACTCCTCTGTTTACCAAGTAAATATTGTGTTACTATTTGCAAGGACAGCCTGGTTATTTCTGGTTGCCCCATAGATTTCTTTAGAATCTGAAACCTGAACTATGTGTGGATAATAGAGCAACTCCCCGGCTTACGAACGGGCTATGTTCCAAACACCTGATCATAACTCGATTTGGTCGTAAGTTGGAAATTCCCTTAAACACGCTGCCTGCGCAGTTTGAAAAACTTAATGTACACGGTTCTCAACTCAAAAATGTTATAACGGGGTTAATGGAGGTTGGTTGTAGGTACGGATGGTCGTAAGTTGGTGTGTTCGTAAGTCGGGAACTTGCTGTCTGCATTTTGGTGTGTTTACTAGCTTGAGCTGTTAGAAAGGACGATGATACATGAACTCCAAGGGTCTGTTAATTTTCTTTTTTCTTTGATTTTATATTAAATATCATAAGCATTGCCCCTTGTTACTATTCCCTTGCTTTAATATATTTTTTTCCACACCTATGGACTATTTAAATGTGTGTGCATGTGTGTGTTTGTACTGGTGGTGCACATCCACACACTCCCTCAATATTGCACAGAAGACAATTCAACCCACCCAAGGATGGAAGACGCTAGAGGGACATCTGCTGGGAACAGAGATTTACTTGGTCTCTGTCTTGTGCCCCTCTGGCCAGACCCTGCCACCTTGAGCTGCAGCCGCAGAACTTTCGGATGCCCAAAGCCGCCTTCCTGGGACTCTCTTCAGGCTCGCTCCTGCTGTGCAGCACAGACACCCCCACGAGCTGGCCTCTTGGCAGAGACGCGCCTGGCGTGTGCCTTTGGACGTGGGGAACGCCAGTGGGGGGGCAGAGACATTCACCATGAATGCAGATGTGCAGGGCCATTCATCCCGCCCTCCTACAAAGGACAGTGCCTCTGGGGAACGTGGCTGGCAGGTGGCAGGTGGCTCTGCAGCGGTGGGTTTCCCTAACTGCAGTGGGTCACTAGATGCTGCGGAGAGAACACGAGGCCCTGTAGAGATTCCTCAAGAACATTCCTGGATCCAAGAGCTCCGCTCACTGATCTGCACAGCTGGATTTCTCAGAGAGCGTGTGCAAAGAAAGCTCCGATTTCCCACAACTGGACGCTGAACTCCCTAAGGATGTTTGAAGGGTGGAGACGTTTCCCTGTCAATTACCCAGAACAATGAAGAACACAGTGAGGTATTTGGAACGCGTCAAGGTATTTGGAACACGCTGAGGTATTTGGAACGTGTCATAAGAAGTTTCTCGTGTACTTTTGGCCAATAATTTTTCATTCAGCAGCTGCTAGCTGGCCCTGTTCACATTCCCATTCCTCAGCAAGCATGACAGAACAGAGCAATGGGAGTTGGCCTGCAGGAAATCAGATGAGATGTTTTTCTTTTACCCATCTTGTTTCCTAAGAACTAAGTGCAGATGGGAAATAGATTGGCTTTGAGCGTTGGCCAAACGAATCAAGCTAGAAGTATGTGCATGGGTACATGGCCGCTAGATGAACCACAAAACCAGGACTATGCAGTAAAATGGCCACAGAGGGCCAGGGGGCAGGACGGGGATGGGGGGCTGTGGTGTATAATAGACACTAGGGGCAGCTCTGGGTGAGGGGCAGGGAATAGTCTCTACAGAGACCAAAGATCGGGAAGCCGGGTGAGGGCAGGAAAGGCAGCAGGCCATCTGTCCATATGTTCACCCAGACATCTTCCTGGGCCACCCTGCAGGTTATAGAGTGAGCCTGGGCCAATGAGAGGCCTCAGGGTGCTGTCACTCTAGGCCTTTTGGGCGGGACTTCCTGTTGTGCCCAATCTCTCCTTGGTTAAACCTCTCTACAGCGCCCCCTGGTGGTGATGTGATTTCCTCAGCTGTCTCTGGCTCCTCCCACTCAAGTTCTCATCCCCCCAGCTCCGTACAGGCGCTCCCCACGGGGCCATCTGAGGAAGGGGGAAAGAGAAGGGTGGGCCGAATTCCCCCGGGCCTCGGGCGGGGCGGCTCAGGGAGTCCCCACAGTAGAAATGCTGCAGCAGCACATTCTGACGGCGATGGAAGGAGCTTTCCCGTCAACCCGTGGGGGCGAGAGCCGGGCGCAGGTTGGCTCGTTTCCATCCCGCCGGCTGTGGTGTTCGGCTGACCTCCCTTCGTGATGTAGACCGGCCCCGGGGCGCCGAGTCCCCTTTGGCTCCTGCACTCGCCCACTCGACAGCTCCTCTCCCCTTCTGCCCTTCCCGCTGCTCGGACGCCTGCCCCCTCGGGTCGCGGTGCAATGAGCCAGACTCTGCCCCAGCACGCAGAGCAATTATCCCTTGATTAGGTGTCGGTGGGGAGACGCCCGTGGCGAGGGGAGGGCTGATTGCTTTGGGGTTATTATTTGTGCCACCAGCTGCGGACTCCCCCGGCTCGGTGCTTCCAATGTCCTTCTGCGGTGTCGGGGGAGGACCCCGCTCCCCCGGGCCATGGAGCACAGGCAGGGAGGCGGCCGCATTTCGGCCAAAACAGGGAGGCCGTGCAGGGCCGGGGGCAGCTCCAGCCCCGGCTTCCCTCTTTGGCCGGGAGGGGGGAGAAACCAGAGAGCATCGCTCCCAGCGTGAGACACCAGAGCTCTGGGCCAGCCCCAGCGACCCGGCTTCCATGCGCTCAGGGCGGATGCCAGTCGAGTGCACGTAGTTTAGAGAGTGTCTGTCTGGGCACGAACTCCCCCTCACCGGTAAGAGCGGGACCACCACTTTCGGGAGGCAGCCTCCTCTGCTCCGAACTTAACGCCAGGCCAGGGTTGGGCTGGGCCAGGACAAGGGGCTGGGCCTGGAATGGGACTGGTGCTCATAAAACCCTGCAGAAAATAGACAGAATCACCAGGCAGTGGAAAGGGGCTGGGTGGGGGTGCAGCTCCCATCTCACCCCAGCCCTGACTCCTGCACCCCCACCTCCTGGCCTGAGCCCCGCCTCACCCCAGCCCTGACTCCTGCACCCCCACCTCCTGGCCTGAGCCCCGCCTCACCCCAGCCCTGACTCCTGCACCCCCACCTCCTGGCCTGAGCCCCGCCTCACCCCAGCCCTGACTCCTGCACCCCCACCTCCTGGCCTGAGCCCCGCCTCACCCCAACCCTGGCTCCTGCACCCCCACCTCCTGGCCTGAGCCCTGCCTGTCCCCAGCCCTGGCTCCTGCACCCCCACCTCCTGGCCTGAGCCCTGCCTGTCCCCAGCCCTGGCTCCTGCACCCCCACCTCCTGGCCTGAGCCCTGCCTGTCCCCAGCCCTGGCTCCTGCACCCCCACCTCCTGGCCTGAGCCCCGCCTGTCCCCAGCCCTGGCCTGAGCCATACGGGTTTATTCCCATTGTGCATTTCTGTCTGAGCTAGAACATCTTTGTCCGTTGTTCTTCCCACTGAGCTGAGCCCCCTCCCCAGCCCTGCTTTCCCGCGCCAGTGAGTTCCGCGTGTGCGCTGAGTCTCCCCTTCCTGAGTCAAACCAGCGAGGGGCCCCGAGGCACCTCACAGCCCAGCCCACGGATTTGGGCAGCTGCTTCCAGATACATGATCTGTGAGTCAGTGAGGAGCCAAAGGCCCCTCCTTGGGTTTGCAGAAGCAGACTAAGGCGGCTCGTCTCCGACACAGGCTCAAGTGGGGCCGTTTAACAGCGGAAAGCACACGGCAGAGAGTTGACACGTCCTAAGACCCATGGGGGGCTGGTTCCCGAGGACTCTCCTAAGGTTTGGGGCGTGTAAGCCCCGTGCCCGTCGGACAGTCGCCCTCAATCCTGGGAGCTGGACCTTTTCTCTCCTCTGTTCACTGGCCTGCCCCCCTGCCCGGTCGCTACGAGTTGGCCTGGTTATCGGCTCACCGGTCCCTGTGCCAGTGGAGACTGGAGGAGGAGAGCCAGGGACCCGTCTCCCACCAGGCTCCGCTTGGCCTCACCCTTGGTGCTTTGGGAAAACCTCCCCCTGTCGCTACGTGTGTCGTTGGCCGGGGTCCCTCCCTCCATTGCCGTTGGGCCGGGTTCCACCCTCCGTAGGCCTCCTGAGTCTCAGCTCACCGGAGAGCTCGCCGTGCAGCCAGACTGGCCCCTCGCTCGTCCTCCATGCACCTTCAATCTCGTCTCCTTGCGGAACGCGCCCGTTCCCCTGAAACCCTCTGTCCCAAGACGTTCTGCCCCCCACGCCAGCGCTGAGTGTGCCCGTCGGCCGTCCGACTCCCGGCCCATCACAATCGACTCGGTTCCAGACCACAAAGCTGCCCCTAGCGCAGTCCAGGGACCTGCTGGGAAAGGGGCATTTCGCCGTGTTATTTCCCCGCTTCTGGCTAGCAAAATCCCCCAGTTAATACCAGGCCTCTGGTTCTGGGCCGTTCCTTTACTGGTTCAGTGCAAGCTCCTCCACCTTCCCTTCTGCTCCATTGTAGACCCTTCCCGTGGTGGCCACCCGCCGACGTCTCTCCCCTCCCCCAGACACGTCTGATGGCAACTACACAACCGGGAAACCAAACGTCCATCTCTGAATTCATCCTCCTGGGATTCGGGGATCTTCCCGACCAGCAGCCCCTCCTCTTCCTGCTCTTCCTGGTGATCTACCTGGCCACCATGGCGGGGAACCTCCTCATCGTGGTGCTAGTGGTGGTGGATCGACACCTCCACACCCCCATGTACTTCTTCCTGGGGAACCTGTCCTGCCTGGAGACCTGCTACAGCTCCGCCATCCTGCCCCGGCTGCTGGCCGGGCTCCTGACGGGGGACAGGACCATCTCTGTCCGTGGCTGCCTCACACAATATTATTTCTTTGTGGTCCTGGCAGGGGCCGAGTGTTTCCTCCTGGCAGCGATGTCCTACGACCGGTACCTGGCCATCTGCAAGCCGCTGCACTACGCCGCCTGCATGAACACCCGGTCCTGCCTCCAGCTGGCCGCTGGGTGTTGGGCCAACGGGCTGCTGGTGGGCAGCATCATGACGTCCGTGGTGGCCCAGTGGTCCTTCTGTGGCCCCAGGGAACTGGACCATTTCTTCTGTGATCTCGCCCCACTAAAAAAACTCTCCTGTAGCGACACCCGGCCGATGGACCTTGTGACTCTCGTTGTGAGTTCAGTAGTCACCCTGCTCCCGTTTCTACTGACTGTGGCCTCCTACACCTGCATCCTCGCCTCCGTCCTGAGGGTGCCCTCTAGAACGGGGAGGCAAAAGGCCTTTTCCACCTGCTCCTCCCACCTCATGGTGGTGACCCTCTTCTACGGCACCCTGGTGGTCGTCTACATGCTCCCGAACACCGACACGCTGAGGGTCCTGAACAAAGTGTTCTCTGTCTTCTACGCCGTCCTCACCCCCCTGGTCAACCCACTCATCTACAGCCTGCGCAACAGGCAGGTGCAGGGAGCCCTGGGACACGCCCTCCGCTCTCTTGTCACATTGACAGGGCGTTAGGTCTGGGAGCCGCGGGCCTGGGCACACGCGGGAAAAGGGGGAACAGCTCTCGGGGGGAAGGGAGGCAGCCATGTAGACTCACGTCTTAGCTATTTCATCCTGGCTTTTCTGTGTGAGGCACCAGCTTCCACACCTGTAAATGGTTTAAACGTAGAGGCTACGTCTTCGATGAAAGTTTTTTTGGGAAATATGCTAATGAGGGATTAATCTGCATGGTCGTGATCTCATTTGCATATTTTCTGCCAATCCATTTTTATGCTAGAGGTTTTTGTGCAAAAACAAGCAGCGTGGGTGTTTTCTTGTTGCACAAAAACCCCCTTTTTCCGCAAGATGGGTAGACTTACTTTTTTGGGGCATAAGGATCTTGCAGAAATAGGGGTTTTTGAGCAAAAAGAAAACAGCCGGACTGCTTGTTTTTGCGCAAAACCCGTAGCGCAAAAACGGATCGGCAGAAAATATGCAAATGAGATCACGACTCATGCAGCGTACATGTAGCCAGAGTGACAACGGGGGCATCGCTGCCCTTTTCTCCTGTTTTTTAATTTCCTCCCCGACTGGTAAATTGTGAAACACATTTTTTTATATTAAACTAACTTTTGTTCTTGCTCCTGACTGGTAAATAGTGAAACACATTTTTTTTTATATTAAACTAACTTTTGTTCTTGCTCCTCCTGTCTCAGAGGGGAAAACTGGTTTTAAAATGTGAAAAAGCAAAAGGAAGTGTCAGCGTGGGGAAAACAACCCTTCCTACACGTCTCCCCCCACCCGTTCTCCTGTCTCAGAAGGGAAGACAGTGTTTTTAAAATGTGAAAAAGCAAAAGGAAGTGTCAGCGTGGGGAAAACAACCCTTCCTACACGTCTCCCCCCACCCGCCTTTCAAACAGCCAGAGCAGAGCACTGAAAATGGAGATAAAGTGTGGGAGTGGGAGTGGGGGTGGCGGTTAATGAGGAAAAAAACGGGAAAATTAGAATGTGCGGGAAATGGAGCCGGAGAGAATTTCTCCCAATTAAAAACAGGCCGAGGAGCCGGCGTGAGAGCTGCCTGGTTTCCTGGCCCGGGTGTTCACAGACACGCTCGCCTTGGTTCTGAGTCGGGGGCCTCGGGCGGGCTCTACTGAAACCTCTGCAGAGCCCATGCTGGCCGAGAGCGCGGGACCGGCACCGTTCGAGGGTCAGTGTGTCTGGACGAGCCGTATTTGTGGCCTTTTCAGACCCTTGGATGGCAAGTGTCACCCCGGGGCGCAGGCCACGGACCCCCGTGTGCCGGATGCTTCCAACAGGAAAGGAGACCCTGAGCACCACGGGGAGGCTGGAAAGCTGGGGAGCCCCCTGCACGCCCTAGCTGCAGTCCCTCGCTCCCAAAGGAATACACAGTGGCG